TGCTAGATATGAAGAGAGGTAGAGGCTCCAGCTACGGTTTTTCATTTGAAGCAATACTGTCTAATTGTGTTGTAGATCCTACAATGATGTGTTCAGATTTTTTGGACTGCTGTTGTCGAGGTCATCCGTCCACCCTGGAGTCCACTCCGAAATAGATCGTTCACTATGATATCAATCTATGTTCTTGGGAGAAGACTCTGGTTCTTGTTGGAGGTTCAGACATCCGAAACACTGATGACACCATTGATTCTGGTTCTCTGGAGCCTTTGCTACGAACCACGCTGTGATATGCCAGCATGTACAGTCGCAGCTTGATGGGTCGTTGTTTGGCCAAAAGATCAACCCTACACCAGGGCGAACCATGGGTTTGATGAGGAAGACAAAGACTTCCTCGCAGTTTTTTCCAGTGCTGGGTTGTTCTATGTTGTTCTCTTTTTAACCTTTCGGCCAGGAGGAGAGGCCAAACGACCTCTCCAAAACCAGGCCCAATTTCTTTCAGATATTTTTAGAGTGTTTATCTCCCCTTGGCCAGACTGATTTGTTTAGCTCGCCCGAGGAGGATCTGATCAAATTGTTGTAAACTGTCAAAGGGCCACTTGGGCCACTTTGGCCACTCTGTACAGGTCAACTAAGCAATGCGACTCCCGTTCCGTTCCGGTCCGCCCTTGCGGTGCGGAAGTCGGTCGTCCTGCCTCTGCCGTCCTGCATGGAAAGGTGTTCGACGGCGCTCTGTCCACGCGGCCAGAAAAAAGACACGGAATCGATCCGGGCTGATCTTCTGCAATCCAGGTCTTGACCAAGAAAAACGCTCAAGACCTCGTTTGTCCAGGTCTTCGTCGCAAAACCCAAAAACCTAAGCTCAAGTCCAGGGAGACCGTCCAATTCAACCTCCTTGGAAGGTTCGAAACAGAGACTCAAACCTGGTTGCGGGGGCCTCCGAATTTAAATACCACACACACAGCGTGTATATGCACATAGTCGTATTGATTCAAGGCTACGTGGGATCCGTGTGTTTTTTTGGGTTGCTTGCGTCCCGGTGTATAGAGAAAGGTGACTTGTCATCCCGGTGTTGAGTGCTTAAAACTCGATATCCTGTGGCACTTCGTTGGCACGTTTCTCCTTGGTCAGACAGTTTGAGAGGATTTAGAACGAACACATGTCTTAGTCGGGACGGTGCCTGAAAAGCACCATCGCTTCAACTGAGGTCACTGAGATCAGATGCTGAAGAGAGCGTCCCCCCACCACAGATTCATGTAGACTCTTGATTCAATAAAACGACCAGATACAGAGTTTCGTTTTCTTCGTTATCTTTGGTGCCTCCCTAAGGGAGTTCATTTGGGGTTCGTTGTTTGCTGCTGGGTGGTAGCCCACAGCAGAGTCTCACGTGTAGGGGAACCGACGTGGGCGCGAGAGGAAGAAGATGTTTTACAATCCAAAGAGGGGGATGTGTGGTCGCGTACTTCAGTCCGCAAGTGAGTGCATCCAAAGAGGGGGTATCTATTGATCAGGAGTCTAAATTAACACTTCAAAAACACGCATCATGGCCCCTCATTGGTCTGTATCCACTCCCACTACGGCTGGAGGGATCACCCACAGTCTTCAGTTCTAGCGCTACCCACACGCGAGACCGTTCGGAGACCATGAAGGTGTACTGCAGGAATCTTTGTGTACTGGTACTGATCCTGGTGTGTTTGGTTGACCGGACGCGAGGAAAGCCACCGCAGCTGGGTGTTTTGAGGGTTTGCACCGGGTGGTTTGAGGTTTTTGCTGCTGCTTTATCGCTGTTAGAGGTGGAGACACGACCAGAAAAAGCCCGTTTTGGTCAATCGCGGTCATCTCACTAGTGCTGATTGCAAGTTTGTTGGTTTTTCCTTGGATCCCTTCGATTCGATCAAAAAGCTTTCTTGGATTCCCCCAAAGCTTCGACCCAAAGCCTCTGGGATTCCTTGGATTCGCTTTGCCGAAGAAACTTTTGGACGACTGGAGAAGATCGGTCGGAACCAAGAAGAAGGCTAGATAGGACTCTGATGGGCTCTGTATAGAACACTGGGTGGAAACCACTTGAGAGGATGGAGTCCTTCTGTTTTCTGGACAAGACTTGGAGTATTAAAGGAGCGCACAGTGGAGAAGATTAGCTGAAGAGGGCTGCCCACTTGAACCAATGACTCTCTTAGTTGGACGACTTGCTTCCCTGACCGAACGGAAGCAAGGATTGGAGGAGAACTCTCACATTCAAAACCCTGGAAGCCAAAAAAGACTCCGCCTCTATCCAACAAGTCTGGTGAGCGGTGGGAAAGAAACTTGTTGGTCTTCCTTTGTCACGTCAAAGAAGGGCCGACGCAAACGTTAGGTCTTCACAACTTGCGTCTGAAACGTCACGTCTTCGTTGGACACGTCACGTCACGGCACCGCGTCTTCGGTGACGGTGCAGACGTCCCCACGAGGCTCCAGAGGGAGAGCGCTTGCAATACGAGGCCCGTGCGGAGGGCGACGCGGTGTCTGAAGACGGTGTCTGAAGACGGTCCCGGTGGTTGCGTTCCACCACGCGGCGCGTGGAAGAAACAGGAATAGCCAAGCAAAAGTCCACCCAGGGGAGGCTTTCCGGACTCTACTTACACGATTGGTTTGTTCTATTTAACCGCCGTTGGCGTGTGCCGCCGGCCTCCACGGCTGAATGCTGCCGCATGTGTGCAGAGGAGCAACGTGTCGTGAGCAAAAGAACATGAGAAGGGGAGCTAGACTGAAGGCAGGGGAAGACACAAAGCAAAGAAACGGCAAGGGCTGGCCCTAGGGCAAGGCATAAATTGACTCCTGCCGGTGGAGCGGGTGAAGGGAAAGCAAATGAGCAACATGTAGCCAGCAAAGCATAAGCAAGGAGCTTGGCTCAAGGGTGGGAGACGCAACGCAGAGAAGCGGCCAGGGGAGGGGAAGGGGTGTGTGGAAATGCAGAGGTGGAAAAAGTCGCAAAGAAGGTAACGTAAATCACGAGTGGGCTTAGACCGGTGCTGAAAAAGGTACAAGGTCAGTCTAAAGCCATTCTAAAAGATTTCGAAAAGCCTAGACAGTGACAAAGGTGTTGAGGAAAGGGGTCGGTGGCAAGAGAGTCTGTCGAGGTCTGTATGATAGACAGTGTGCGGGCAGAAGGGGTGAAGTGGGAGAGCTGCGGGAAAAAAGCGCAAGGTCTTGTCCTATAGCACACGGTGATTGGTGAAAACCGTGGCTTGATGTGAACTGTGGTTGGTGTAAAGTGGGGTGTGTTGCAAACTATGGTTGGTGCAAACCGCGGCTGGGTGTAAGCGGTGGCTGGTGCAAACCGTGGTTTGGTGTAAACGGTGGTGGTGCAAACGGTGGTTGGTGTAAACGGTGGTGTGGTGTAAAGGGGGGTTGGTGTAAAGGGTGATTGGTGTAAACGGTGGCTTGGTGTAAACGATGGTTGGTGTAAACCGTGGTTGGATGTACATGGTGGTTGGTGCGAAACGGTGGGCAAAATGCTTATAAAGCCATGGCAGAACGCTCTGAAGTGCAGGCAAAACACAGGCAATGCGCGTGCAGAACGACGACGACGAAGGCGACGGCGACGACGAAGGCAACGACGAAGACAACAACGTGGGCGTGTGGGGGGGGGGGGGGGTCAAGTTAGTCGAGGCAAAAACCCGCGCAGAGGAGCAATCTAAACGATGAACAACTTTAGTATTAGACAAGACAAGTACAAGTACAAGCACATCCACAAGACACGCCGGCAGGCCGGCGGATTTTCTCAGTCGCTTCAGCCCTTTAATGGCAGCTTTTCAAGAAGTCTCCGGATCCGGCCGCGTGAGACATCCATGTGGCTTTGATCAGATTGGCAGCAGATCCGTGGTCCAACTTCGTTTCGGATCACCATGGCACCGCAACGAACCTCGCCGACATGTTGGACACCACGAAGCCGACCGGAACCGAGCGGAGATCCGAGACTGTCCTGCGGAGAAGGGGGCTGGGATGAATGGAGGAGACCTCTCCCTCCACGACCTGGATCTTCCAACTGTGCAAAAGTTATGCCTTTTGATGTGTAAGACCAGCCCAAAGGCAGACATCTTGCATAGTTGGAAGATCCAGGAATCCAGGTGTAGACACACTAGAATCCATTCCCTCAGTCCTTACTAAGCACCAGTCAGCATGGGCACCATGTGGAATCCCGACCCTGGTTTGCCACCGACACGATCGGTTGGTGAACCCCTGTCGGTCTGCTGGTGCCAAGAGCCACGCCATCGTTGCGCAACTAAGACGGAGGTTGATGTTGTAAAGCGTCAATCGTCGCTGGATCTTCCGTTCTTTGCGGCACCCCACCCGGCCGCTCCGATGCGTGCATTTCGGCGTCCCCTCGGACGAGCCGTGAAGCTGCGGTGCGAGGAGCGTTTCAAGCGCATCTCCCGCGCCTACGAGATCCTTTCGGACCCAGAGAAGCGCCGGGGAGCTCGAGATCTTCGAGATCTGCGCCGGGCGGCTGTGGGAAGCCAGATGAGAAGTGGTGAAGTGCCTTGTTTCCTGGAGTTGGTTTGTACTGTGCATGTTGTGTCATACCAAGCTTTTGAGAATTGTTTAAAAACACAGCTTTAATCCAATTGCAATCTAGTTCGGTCTTGAATCTTTGCCAGAAGTGATGATCGACTTGCGACCGAACCGGCCAGTTCGCCTGTTCGGCCCGGCCGCTCGTGACAGCGCCACCCGCAAAAAAGAGCTTCCGGGTTCGGTTGAAAGAGACCAGTCTACCCGCCCAAGGCCGGAGACACACCCATTGAATTGTTTGTGACACGTAGGCCCCCATGTGCTAGTTGACCATCCAGCTAGGCCTTGTGGCAGATCAAGGATGAAACGACGTTGACCAACGGAGGAAAAGAACGTCTATGAATTAGGGGAACTCAACGCAATACACTGGATATCCACATTTGTTCAAGAATAGCATAATGCAGCATAATGTCGCACGCTCATTGGTCAGAAACTCCGTTTGGCATTGCGATTGGGATTCCCCCCTATTCAAGTTGTCCGTGAAACTCGACAGAATAGCACTAGAGGGACACTCCAAGGAAGATGCGAGACAAATAGGTCATGAAATACCCGCTATATAGATGATTATCAGTCAAACCGGAGTTGTCCTGTACTACCCTTGCTTGGACCATATGAACTAGTCTTGCTTTTTGTCCGAGTGATCAAGTCTTTGCGGACGGACGTGAGGTCGAACCTATGACATGCGAGGTGAGGCAGGACGGGTGTGATGTGGGACGTGGATGATCGCGAGGGTTTAAGGCACGGATTTCTGAGAAACACGCAGTGCACACATTTCACGCAGATTCTCGGAGTATTGTTCAACTGACTATTTGTGGATGGACCGTGTTTCTTCAACATTCCAGTCTTAGGCACGAGACCTCTGCCTATCTTCTGAGCTGCAGACACAAAGACCCTGATTTACTTATTGGGAGGTAACAGGACATGGGGAGTCCAAGCATGGTCACTGGAGTTGGGGGTCAGGATGCATTTTGGTCGATCCGGCATCATTGGAGTCAGGGCTTTTAGACTCAACAGAGCAGGTCAATGAAACACCGGTAGCAAAGGATTCCATCAAGGGTGTGAATGTTTAACTCCTCCTCCCAAACTTTGGGTGATCAAAGGAATGTAAACATGGTTGAGTGCACAGGAGTTGGCGGCGGCATGTCAAGCAGTCGCATGCAAGAGGGGTCATGCATCATGTTCAGGGTTTTGAGCCTTCTGCTCATGTTTGATTGCTCATCTGTGGCTCGACCCCCGTGACCGCCAGCCTGATAAATGACACACAGAGCTCCAGCGGTATATGTGCGGCCGTTTTGCACATGAATGACCACCAGGTTGTCGGTATGTGAGATGTTTTCCCAGCTACTTCCTGAAGAATCATGGTTCCGTGGATGGCAGCCGCGCTTGACAAGGATGAACCCTTTTTATTGAATACCAAACAGGTGGTGCCATCTCCATCGAACAATGACTCGGAGAGTAGGTGCCAAAGAACTTCTGCAAGCTCATCGATTCCTTCACAAGTTTTCCAGTGTGGTCCCATAGCATCTTGCCTCTTGCAAACCCCCACCCTCAACCTTCAAAAACCACAGGACTCAGGACCATTCAAGAACAGTCCACCAAACCCGCCTAAAAGCCATCACCAAAAGCCTCTTCTCACGTGATTTCAGACGTCGCGCACTGCACAGTCGGCCTTCGACGGCCGCGATGCTGCCGGGGCGGGCCCTGGTGGCGGCTTCGGTGGCTTGGTGGAACGGGTCGGCGAGCGCCAAGCGATCAATGTGATCAATGTGATTTGTAAGGGTGATCTTGAGCAACGTCATTCATTTGAAGTGGTGCGGTTGGGAGAACTTGGACGTGTGAGATGTTCAGCTGGTTTGTTGGCTGGCTCGAAAAAAGGCGTAAACCGCTACAACTCGGGAAGGTGGTTGATCCAAAGCGGCGCTTGGATCGGAGAGTTTCACCATATTTTTTCTTTGAGGTATGTTTGTTAAGGCAACGTCCTGTACAAACAAATTTCTGACAGGTCACCTTGTTGGTTCGGGCGGGCGGCCTTGTTATCAGAAGGGGGGGTAGGCATGGCTTGCCATGGTTTCCTGCCACATAGTCTTTCACACTCGCGCAGACATTTCCATCTATATGATGATAACCTTTTGAACACATATGAAAACAGTTGATCGTGACGTCAAGCTTCAGGCTCAGGCTATCCTGACATTTGGCAACTAGGTCAACCAGGTTGTAAGCCTAAAGTGCCAGGCTGGGGACATGCTCTCCGCAAGAACGTCTCTTCTTTTGGTGGATCTTCTCGTGCTCGTGTGCTCCGCTCTGGCCTATGTGGACGGATGCAAGTCGGAGCAGGTCGAGTGCGATAGGGATGCTGCAGACACAGATGCTTCAGCCACACGCGGGTGACGAGCTGTCGGGCACCTCGCTGTCTGTGTCGGCTGAGCACTCCATCCGCCCAAAGAGCGGACGGTCGAAGGAGAAAGGGGGGCGGGGGTGAAAAAGACGAAGAAAGCGGCAAAGCGCCGGCAGGGTGGTGGCTCCGGGAGCGGCTCGGGGAAAGCACAGTTGGGCGGGAGCACATCAGGTACTCTATTCATCTCTGTCGAAAGCAGCGGCTTTGTGGACATGCCGGAGGAGAACGAGATTCCCTCCTTGGAAGGCAAGTTTAGCTGCGCTGCTCTTATCTATCTCACTGTATCCCATGTCGACAAGAAGGAATTCTATGACCAGGCGAGAGAACTTAGTTGGTTCAGAACCTTAAGGTCTCATAGTTCTCATCGTTTTGTCAAACATCAGCGGTCTTGACAATCATTCCCTGCTCGCGTGAGGCGACTGAACGCGTGAGAAAGAGCAACCAGGGGCTTGAGATTGAGTACCGTTCCACAAATACAGAACGGATCAGGATGGGATATTGTGCTTTTGCCAATTGTATTGAAGCTGTTTGGGCTTCGAACTGCAGTAGTTTTGGATACAGTAGGGCAGTAGGGTGTATTGTTCTGTGGCTGAGGTACTGGCTGCAGTTTGACACAGACATGCACGACACCACGCCAAAATCTAACTGTGCACAAGCGAGCGCAGGAACCCGTGCCGAGCACATCATTGGTTACATTAAAGACGCCCAGGAAGAGTTAGGTTTGAAGATCGCAGGCATCCATTTCGACAATGAAGGTGTTGGGGGCAACCTTCAAGCTATCGTCGAGGCGTGGGCAGAGTTCGTAGTGAGCTCGGCGTGAAGATTTCCTTCACCAAAAATATCGGAAATTGTGCCCCAACAAGGGAGCTCAGCAGATACCAAACCAGTAGTCAGGAGAATTGTGAACAGTGAGCCAATCATCTCTGACTTGAGACAAGGAGATGATGAGCTAGAGGATCCAGGGGTGCGAGTAATTCACTTCTATATTGGAGATGATGATGATGATGATGAGCCAGCGTTCCAGGAAGCTGAGGAGATTGACACATGCCAGATGATGAACACATAGTGAGGAGACTTGGGGAAGAGAATGAGGATGTGGCCATCATTATTGACCGTGGAGCTGATGTAGCATTATTCCCTGTGAGTATGGCAAATCAGGGGCAAGGAGATTTACTATGCAATATAAAGACCAGGCTACAAGATGCTCACAGGAGGTGCGAAAAGTGTTGAAATTTCATTGCGCGACCTTGATGGAAGAGAAGTTCTTCTCAAGGTGAATGTGATCTTCAGTTCCAAGGTGGGTTAGCCCATACTTTGTTATGGAAGGTTGATGGAACATGGTTGGGGAACCAAGAGCAGAGAGCAAACGTTGGAGAATGGTGACTTGAAGGTGCCACTCAACCTACAAAATCGCTCTTTGACTGTTTAAGGCCGCGAACTGCTTGGAGGTGCAAGTACCTGAAGCTTTGGAAAAGGAATCAGGTTGGAGGTTCAATGAGCATGGACTGCTCGTTGGAAGCTTATTGACTTCAAGATTTGTTGCTCCCACAGTCATTCCAGATGGCAAAGAAACACCAGAGCTGATGAGAACTACTTTGGTGAAAAGAGGTCGATGGCTAATGCCTAAGTGTTGTGAAAGTATGATGGAGAAGGAGGAACTTGATGAGCAATTCTTTGATGATGATGCAGTCATTCCTTCAGACGCAATATTTAGCTTTGAGCCAGCGCCACCAGAGAGAGGATATGGGCTTCTTTGCACCAGGATACAAGAAGCTTGAGAACAGAGAACAAAGAAAGAAAGAAGTTCAAGAAGCCTTGGAAGAGATTACCCCTACTCCACAGGAGAAGGAGGTAGAAGGAAAAGAAATATGAAGACCTTGAATGTGAACTACAACTGAGCCCAATGGATGTAGACAAAGTCTTGGTGAATGGAAAAGAGTTGATTCATCTTTTGGCGACTCTGAGGGCAGCCTTTTCATTTCTCGGCATTTCAGGCAGTGGCTTTAAGGTAAAGGTCTACACGAAGATCTTCAATCACAACAAGAAGGTGGAGTTGTTGAACGCCAAAAGTTTGGCGAGTGAAGAAAGCTTAAGAAACAAGAGAGGCATTAGGGCAAAGTGTGGCAAAGATGCCAGATGAAGCAACTCAAGCGAGACATAGGTTGATGCACATGCCATATGCCAAGTGGTGTAAGGAGTGCATTGAACACCGAGCGCCGCATGAAAGAACAGATGGAGCAAAGAGAGGAAGCATTCCTGAGGTAAGCTTTGACTTTTGCTACACAAGAGCAAGGGATCCAGAAACAAAGTCAGCAAGAGCAGTATGTTGGCTAGTTGCAATTGACAGCCAAGCTGGATTCATTCACGTTGTGCCATTAGGAAGTACAGGTCAATCTCCTCTCATTGTGCAAGAGTTGATGAATTTCAGCCAATTGTTTGGGTATTCAGCAATCACCTGCAGGAGTGACAATGAACCCACAACAAGACAATTCTCAAGATACTGATCAATGCTCGCCATAGTCAAGGACTCACTACCAGATTGGTCAACTCAAAGCTTGGAGATCATTCACTTCTGTCAGAGAACACAGTTGATAGAGTGAGAATGCAGAAACATTCATTGGAGGTGTCCAGTCAAGACTTGGTATCAAGATTGGGTTAGATCATGCACTTTGGACTTGGGCAGCAAGACATGCCAGTTGGGTGCTGAATAGATTTCAGCTAGTCAAGGGTGCCACTGTCGGACTCCTAGCAGAGTATGGTGAGCCAGTTCATGGTTACATCAAAAGTCTCAGCAAAGGAGAAGCAAGCTGGCATTTGTGCTTGTTCTTGGGACAAGTTGAAAGGCAAGATACCTATGTACTCACAGATGCAGTGCAAGTAGTTTTTAGCAAGTGCGCCAGAAGAACGGACCAATCTATCAAGATTCGTCCGAGTACTTACCCACATACAAAAGCCTCGATGCATTTTCATGGGAGTATGAAGCCAACTTTGGTGGCAGGATCATTGCCACCAAGAGAGGAGCAGAAGCATTACCAGCAGCGCAGACAGACATTCCTCGAGAACATGTAATGGTTAAGTTCAGAGACGGGGATGCAGAAGCAGTTATGGCCAAGGCGCTGGAAGGAGGATGTGATTAAGAAAAGGAAGAGCCACTATTTCCAGAGCTAAAGGAGATTCCAGCGCCGCTGGAAATTCCTGTTGAAGCAATGAAAAGAGATGGAAGTGAAAGAAGGCCAAGTGGAGAAGCGACACCAAGTAAGAAGCAGAAAGTTCTCTCTGCTGATGGGAAGACACTTGAAGAAGTGAAGGCATTTCCCTCTACAGCATTGCCAGCAGGACAGCCAAATCCAATTACACCTATCTTACCTCCAAGCATTGGATTTGCTTGAGGAGGAAAGTCCAATGAAGAAGCTAAGGCCATTAAAAGTTGGAAGCAAGAAGGCAAAGATCAACATGGTGAAAGTTGGAGGAGAAAAGTATGAGTTATCCCCAGTTGCAGAAGAAGTTGGTGAAGAAGAGTGGGAAGATGAAGAAGATGATGAATAAACTTGAAACCAATGGGCCTGAATGCTTGTGGCGTGATGAAGAACATGAACCTGAAGGAGATCCAGAAGAATGGAATGACAGAGTAGCTGGTGAAGTGGAAGAAGAAAGACTCCAGAAGATGCAGGTGCTAGAGAAACCAGAAGGTAGCGCAAAAGGAATCAGTTACCTGACAGCACGTAATGTGTATGACGGGAGGAAGAAACCATATCAACTTGAGATGGCATTTCAGTCAGGAGGTGGAAGAGAAGATCAAGACTAGTTGCAAGAGAATTTGCTTTCGCTGAAGGAAAGAGAGATGACGTTTTCTCACCAGCGACTTCAGGGCATGTACTGGAGCTTCTAGTCAAGAAGATGAGACAAGAGAGGGAGAAGGATCATTCTCACAGGTGCTAGGATGTTTTGATGTGAAAGACGCACTTCTACAAGTCCCACAAGAGAAGCCGTTGAAAGTGATCTTGAGAGGAGAAGAATACCTAGTGAAGAGGAATTTACCGAAACAAAGAGTTGGAGCAAAAGCATGGTTTGACTTTTCCAGAGTACCTCACAGAGGAGCCCATTCAGTGCTGAGTGTCCATGCCTAGGAAGAAATGAGAAAAGTATCGTTTTGATCCATGTGAATGACTTGATTTTCACAGGAGACTCGAAGTACATCAATGGAGTCTTTCTTCCAAAGATCCAAGGCAAATTTGACACCAATGTGAGCAAGGTTGAGAAGATTGGAGATGAGTTCAACTTTCTGAGGAGCCAGTGCAAACTAGAATTTGATCGACTATGGATCCAACCAGGCAATTACATTCAGCAGATGTTGAAAGCCTATGAAGAGCAGGTTGGATCCATCAAACCTCAACAACTACCAGCAGACAACTCGATCCAGATGGAAGACAAGTCAGAAGTCGTGCGTGAACCAGAGAAGATTAGCCTTTTCAGAAGCGTTGTTGGGTCAGGTATCCGTCTATGTCAAGAGAGGTATGATGTAGCATTTACAGCGAAGGAATTGGCTTCAAGAATGTCAAATCCTACAGCGATGTCATTTCATCACTTGAAGAAATTCTTAGAATTCTTGAAGAAGACTATGGACTTTTTGTCTAGTGCTTGAATCTCAACAAGCAGGAGAAGGTTATGTCAAGAAAGGAGAAAGCTATTGGTGCTCAGACATTTTCAGATTCAGACTGGAGTGGAAGCAAAAACCGCACAAAGTTGACATCAGGAGGCCTTCCATGCATTGAATAGTTGTCCATTGTTCACCTGTATCAGAGCAGTTCTGGAATTTGCTCGTCGGACAAAGGTGGACCATTACATCTTCACAGATTCATCAAGTGCGCGCCAACTTGTGACAAAGAGAGGAGTTGGAAAAGTGAGGCATCTAGATGGAAAGTTGCTATGGGTTCAGAACAGAGAAGATTTCAAAATGGTACAAGTGCCAACAGATAGCAACATGGCAGACCTCAACACAAAGCCACGTGGAGGACAGAGAATGAGATACTTGATGAACCCAACTGGTTGCTGGCACAGTGAAGACCAAAAGAGAGTAGGAGAATATGAGAGAAGTGAATTTGAAGAAAGCAATTTTTGCAGGAAAGGTCAGGAAGATTGCAAAAATGCTTGTGAGAATGGTAGCATTCGAGGGCTTGCAGCCAATGGTTACAGAAGCATTCTTGAAAGAAGGAGACAATATCCGGTGTGGATGGGAAGATATGAGGTTGGAAGAGATGAAGGATTCCAATGGCAACTGGAAATTTTGGATAGCTGCGATCATTGCAATCAACATTGTTTTCTTTGCGGTCGTGATCTTCGTGGTCTACAGGATCTTCAAACACCTTGAGTTGAAACTCCAAAGGAATAGCGATGAGCTATGGGGCCATACAGAAAGACGCTATAATGACATTTGGCAGTACACTGATTGGAGATCAAATGACCTAGAGTTCAGGGCCACAGAATGTGAAATTGGTGTCAGAGATTGTGAGATTGATGCAGATGATATAGATCTACTCAAGGACTATGTCGGGAGAATTCACCATGGACCGATTCTGAATGGAGGTTTTGTAGAGAGAGAAACACCGAGTCGACAGGCTATTCTTAGCTATGACCTTTTGAATGAGATAACGCAGGAAACTTCTTAGGAAGAAAGAGTTTGGAAGCTATGCAAGCTACAGACGGATGGTGTGAAGGACACAGAGTGATGCTAGAAGCAGCAAATGAAGGAGCAAATCCATCAGGAGGACCATTGAACAGATCTTTCTCAGTGGGAAATAGAGAGATATCAATGAGATCAGAATACATGAGAATGATGTCAATACAGATGTGTGGTAGACTCAGTGCTAGAATCGAGAAGTTGAGCGCGCAACATTGGAACCGACTAGGGGAAGGAAACCAAAATGCTGCAGATAGGATTGAGGAGGAACTGAAGAAGTACAAGGAATTACTTGAAATAGCAGAATACAGAAGAGACCATCCAGATACCAACCCAGCAGAAGTACACGCTAGGAACCCAGTTCCTGAGAGCACAGATAACTCACAGAGAGAGACATAGGTGACATGAAAGAAGACGGACTATGGTGGCAAAGTGAGCCAAAGAGGCATTTTAGGGTCTCACATCGCCAAGGAGCGCCAACCATTTTCTAGGTGAATCACAATCTATGTACATTGCATGATTGATATCACAGCATGTCTCCTTGACTTCATCGCAGCCCTTTTGTGAATCAAGAAAAGGTGCGTAATATATTATCCAACTCTCCTCTCGACTCTCGAGCGGCAGTCAGAGCTATTGTTTAGGGCGCAGGATGTAGACGACCAGGAGCTGTAGAGTGGTAGCCGCTGTCCAACACCTTAACAACCGACCAATGACCAATGACCAATGACACCAGCAAAAATCTCACGAAGGCTGCGCGTTGTTCACGAGTTTCCGTTTTGGTGTCTGATTTCGATCGTCGCTAAGCAGAACGAGGCCCTGGAATGGACCCCTTTGACATGTTCAGGACAGGAGACATTGTGTAGGCGAGCCGATGCGGCGTGGACGTCACCCGTTTGTACATCGGCCCCGCGCGTGACGTGGGATTCCATGGACCGCTGAAGAGTCCGGGTCGTGGGTCGTATGGCGTTAGCCCCGCCTGTCGAGGTCGCGTTCCACGATTCTGGCTCAACAAGGGGCCATGATGAAATGGTTCGGAATGTTCTGTATACCTGCTGCTTTCCTAACCCATCATATTCCTATACTAACCTACTAGCACCCTCCTTAAACAAGACAGAACAGGATTTACATACCCACTGGATTGGGGTTTCTAGGCAGGTGGACCCATAGTGCCTTACTTTAACAAGACTCTTCTGCTGACCACACCTGGTTGATCAGGAGCATGTTCGGACAGAACTTCGGCTTTGGCGGCGTGCCGCGCACGCCCGACGTAGGCGTGGTCCGGTTCATGGAGAGGTTCGGCGGGTATGTTTTGTTCGTTTTAGATGGACCCCAAATGATGGTATCCTTCTTTGGTTCTGAACCATGTTCTATATCCGGGGTGACAACTGAGATGATGTTGAAATGACGAGAGTAAACCAGTAAAGCTGATACATCAGGTCCAAACTGGGTTTTGTGATGCTGGAAGATTGAACATTTAGTCTTTGATTTTGGTTAGCATATTTTTGTTAAACCAATAGTAACCGATTTGTATTATAAGTGTAGTGTTTGTTTCTGCTTCAATCATGTTTGCGTTTGTAAATAGAACTGTAAGGGGTAAGCGACACACTGAAGCAGAAGCGGTCATCATGGACATCGAACAGCCCAACATGTAAGGATACTGTGCCTTGTTGACAAGCGGCAAATTGACAAGTACATCGATCACATATTTGGCATTTGGGTGTATGAACATAGGGAGACCTCCCAGGTTCGACCCCCTGAAAGAAGGAAGATAGACTAGCCTACGGTATTGTATAAGTTTGAGTTCCTACTGAGTCGAAGATTGACGAGGTCCAGATCCGCTCGCTGGATGGGATATGACATATATATATATATATGTACGCCAACTAACGGGAAAAGGGAAAAGGAAGAACACCCGGCCTTCCGAAAACTCCTCTCGTGTCGACACGACAACGGCTGTCTTCCATCCACCGCCGTCCGGTCGCTGACCCCGCACGGAAGAAAGCCGCGGCAAACGGGCCGTCGGGGCCGTCGTCCGACCTAAGGACCAACTTCCCAAAGGAGAACAGGTGGAAAAAAGGGTTTGCCTTCATGTTTTTCGAGGAAACTGACCAAAATCAGAGTTGGGGTTGGTGGTTCGCTGTCGCTGGGGGCTTCTGTCTAAAGACCATCGGAGAACCAGCGAAGCTTGACGGGACCAAGCCGCTACAGCAGGCTACGAGGTGGAAGTGACCATGGAGGACTGCAGGGACAAAGGCTAGGGGCTAGCGTTTTTTTGGGACATTTATGGACATCTTTTCATGATAACGGAACCAGTGGACACAGATCCCCACTTCTATCATGCTCCAATTAGCTGTCATTTGAAAGCCAGTTACCACAGTAGGCTTTGCTTGATGTGCTCAAACCGCGGACTGTGCGGTTCCAGCAGGAGATGTACAAAGGCTTCAGCAAGACGATCCGCTACGAGCGGGACTTGACTCCGCGCTGCGGGCGGAAAGCGCTACGTTGGGGGTCGATCGAATGTTGGGGCGGGAAAGCGCCTGACATGGCATGACCTGGTGCCACAAAAGGTGGGCACGGAGAAGAATAGAGGGCCCAGTAGGCAAGTGGCCAATTAGCAACTGTGTGGATCACCGCAGAACACTCTAAAAATGGTAAAGTCTAAAGTCATTGGGGCTCCAACCTCCTGAGAAGGTGGTTGGGGAGGCCACTCCTCCAGATCCCACAGATCCTGGAACAAGCATCTAAAGGAACCAGTAGCCCTTAGAAAACCAACCAGCTGCAGCTTATCTCACTCCTTTTAACTCCCCACCTCCGCCACCGGTGTTTCGCGGCGTTTCTTCGCCGGCCCTCGGGAAGGAGCTCGCCCTAAATAGAGCTTCCTGATGTCCTCCAGCCATCCGGCCGTCGCCACCCTACGGCCAGGACGCCGTTTGCAGAAGTTGCCAGGGCCAAGGGGCGACCGAGCTGGAGACGTGTGGCGCGGCTGACGACTGCGGTGGACGCGGGGCGAGAAATCGTGGTCAGATGCTCCGTGGCTCGTGTGGGCGCGGGGCGAGAAGTCTCCAAGTTTTGTGGATAATTTGACCTAAGCAGGTGGCAAGAAGATAACGATGGGAGAAGAGGCCACCCCACCAAGTACCAACAGCTCACAAAAGACATGTAAGGTTTACTTCTTGGTGGCCTCCAACCTACTAGCTTCTTGCTACTAGTAGCGATGACCTCCAACCTAGTAGCGATGGCGGAACCCACCAGTCGCTAGTTCGTACTCCAAAATCGTCTGCATGGACAGATCCTTTTGGGCCATCACCAGATCTTTCCAGGTTACACTGGGACTCAATGTTATGGAAGCGGACGGGACTCTCACTGTTTCTAGAGGAAAGTACTCTTCCTGGTAGGACCATGCCATCCAGCTAACCATGTGACGTGTTCATCCGAGTGTGCGGCCTGCAGCTACCGACGTCGAGTTCCTCGGTCGAGTTCCTTCACGGACGGTCCGAGCGGAGCTCGGACGTCAGGTCCTGCCTGCCGCGGCATGGGTGTCACCGTTGAAGATCGCCAGGCACGGGCGTCACGGTGTACTCACCGGTGTCACCGGTACCAAGGCGTCAGACCTGCAGTTTTCCATGGAGTTGGGTGTTTTTGATGGAGGTTATAGGGGTGCCCCTGTCACATCCACTGACTGGATGGGACTAGTCCCACCACCCCGACGTGTGACTCCTTGTAGAGTAGAAGTGGTATGGCAACTCATGAGCTGTTCAATCGGTTTTGCTCTTCAGGGTCCATAAGGGTCCCAAGTCCCCAATACACCTTTTATACCCTAGTAGCCTAGTAGCAGTCCAAGACAGCACATCACTCGGAACCTTCAAGCGCTGCGAAAAACGATCACAGCACTCGGAAGCCGTCACGATCTTTTCTGCCCCTGGGTGACCCAAGCTATGAAGCGCTCAAGAGGAGATGTCTTGCTTGTTCAGTCTTGGGCAATTCATAGCCTGGAGTTGATGTTGTACCCTATGGATCCCTATAAATCCACATACCTTCTGAGAAGGTGAGCAGGAGACTATTTATATATGTAGGCGCCAGGCGGAGAAACACGGCCCTTAAGACAATGATCTGTCTGCAGTGGGCCAGGGGGAGCCAAGAAGTCGATCGGAACGGTGCTTTTGCCCGTCCTACCGGGTGAGCCGATGGCCTCGTCTAGGGACGTAAAGTGTATGTGTATGTGCGATGTGGGCAGAAATTCCTGCTGGAACGCGGGAACAGGTTGGTGACTTTTGGAAGGCTAGAGTCGTAACCAGGCTGGATCTTGGAAACTGGAACCAGGGACATGATTCTGATTAAACCAGTTGCCTCCACATGAATGATGTGGTATTCCTCGAACTCGGTCATAGTCTGAAATGATGTTTGAATGACAGAAAACCCTGTCATTGGAAGACCAATGACTCGCGCTGCATGTTCTGCTTCGCACTCGAAGTTAGCTACAGCAACGGATTCTGCACCACGGGGCGAATTCGCCACACGTGACTTTGTACTGCTCCCTTCCGGTCTTTGAACATAGACATGATAGCTGGACCCTTTCAAGACCACGTTCCAGTGAAAAGGGACCATTGTCCAGGTTGTATGCTCATGACCAGAAAGGAACGGTGGCCAACATTTGAAAAACATCAGAAACACAAGCACATTGGCAATTCACCAGTGGTATCTGCTATCTTCTGCTCAATCGAGATCGCAGTTCGGCGGGTGAACACGTGGCAGTTCGGCGGCTACATCCAGCGAGTGCAACGTGCCTGCGGGCGCTGTCGTGGCCAGGGGGTCCAGGCTGGGTGTCGTGAGAGGCCGTTGTCACAAAGCATCCGTTTCGGAGGCTGCGCCAAAGGGGATCACTCGGCCCCTCAAGGTCTTAGGACTAAATCTAGGATCACCCGATGTAATTATATTGTAAAGATATCACTCACCATGGGGTTGCTTGGAATCTTAACTACTTCGCCGTATTTTGACCTTTCTCCGTGATTTTCTTAGCTGTGAATTGCTGGGGTGCTGGCCTTTGAAGGCTACTCCTACATGGTCAGTTTTTCTTGGAGGATGGTCGTGCATGTGTTGGCATGGTGTAGAACCAGCAGGGCTTGTGATTCGGTTTCTTCGCTTTCTCTACTCTACAATGCTTGGAATCATCATGGTGGAAGTGGATTGCAAAATTGCCACCCAAATCGGAGAACCAACATCAGAATACAATAATTTCAGAACGTTTGTTGACATCAATGAGCGATTGGATCCATTTCCACTGTGGGCGGTCTCCGTTTTGTGCGTTCGCTGGTTTGGGAACGCGGGGCCTGCGAGGCCTGCGGGGCCTGGGATCGTGAAGGTGTTGAGCGGTGTGGGTCATTGACGGTGTTGGGTGGACTCCGTGGAGCTTCTTCTTGCATCGAGCCTCTGGATTCGTACCTGGGATGGTGTAGGATCAACTGCCCCGTGTGTCTGAACGTGTTGAGTATTCATGTTTAGGCCGGTCAGACGTGACATAAACGCACCAAGGCTATTATAGGATGTCAGTCAAATCCGATTTGTGATTCTTTTTTAATGCAAAAACAAGACCGCACTCATAAGAACATCGAGGCTCGGGTGTTTTCCTCTGTCTTTCACGCCAAAAAGAGATGCAGAAGCGAACGGGACCCTCCGGTTCTGGCGCAACGACGTTCCACAGGCCAAGAACCGCTGCGGCAGCTGCAAAGGCCATGGCTTCGTCAAGGAGCAGGTGGCTCACATCTGATTTCCAAGAGGGGAGAAATGGCACGAGACGAGACCCAAGAGGTCTTAGACAGATGGGGGTCCATACCAATCACCAAACTTGGGGAGTGTGCCATCTACTCTGAAACCACTGAAACCACTATAAACTGTAAACCCTTTGGCGATTGTGCCATCGACTCTGAAACCACTCTATCAACGTGGGGGGGCTGGGCTGCTGGGCTGCTCGGATTGGGGGGCTTTTGGGAAGTGAACCTCAATTGACCAACAGCTTGACTTGGTAAATCACAATCAGTTCCACTATGGAACACATGTCCATCCAGTTCCCTTCAAAAAGCCTTTCTGAATGACTTGTCAGGACAGAAAAACCCAAGCCTCAATGGAAAACCCTCCCACTCCTCCAGCCAGAACCAGTTCGTGCCGTTTGAACCGTGACACGGCCGTTCGTTCCGTTTTGACACGTTCGTTCGAAAAAGCAGGTGGAGCTTCCGATCACCGTGCCGCCCGGCTGTCCGGACAGGCGATGGAACGTTCGTTCGGAACCGGAACGTCGTTCAGCGATTGGATCGGAGAAGTTCCATTTGATCGGATGCCTTTGTTGCATACAATATGATGTATTTGTATTACATATATGAGTGACCTGAATAAAGACATATTATGACCTGCCTTAGCTTTCTTTAGGACTGCGGTCTCTGTGAAGCCAGATCTGTTTCTATCTCTGAAACAGAACTATATTTGTAAATCCTGGCAGGACTATCTACATGGAATCGCCTCTTTTGGAAGCGAAACTATGCAGTGCAAGTTCAAGAAGGAATGACATGTTCTATCCACAAATCACTTCACAGTTGTTTCTCCATGAGGTGGAGACTTGTATATCTTCTTTCTGGCCACTTGGCAAACTTCCACGTCTCAATCCTTCACTTGGCGAACGGCCTCACAGGAAGCGCTTCATTTTTCGTGGCAAAGCCGACGAGGACGTCCGCGTTTCGTGTGGTGTGACGGCGCGGTCGGAGCGGAGTGGGGCGTGTGGTGACGGCCACTGAGTTGGACTTCGGAGCAAGAAGTGTTTCGGCGCTGAGAATTGCGGAAGATCTTTTAATCTTTTTCAGACTTAATACACTTTTAATCTCCACAGATTTGTTATTTTTTTTCTTCAAATCTTAAATTCACAAACTCTCATTTCTCCAGGACCACGACTCTTGGGTCCTGAAACGTGCCGGTGGAGATAGGATAGATACGTTCCTCATCAAGAATCGCCTTGTCCTGAAAGCAGATCCTGAAATGTGCATAAGGCCACCATCCAAGCTGTCTGATGCCCCATGTCATTCGTTTGCACTCCAATCGGTCCAGTCCGCCGCGTCCACGCGTCCTTGGCGTGGTGTAGGACGGGTGGGGGTGAACACGTCACACGGTGGACGTCTTCAGAAGTTTAGAAGATGACATCTTGAACAGGTCTAAGGCTATATGCAGAATCTGCTTGCTTTCGACATCAGTCTAACAAGACTTACTTCAACCTAAGAGATTTATCAAATACATAAAATGACGTCAGTCCTTCGGGACATGTTACGTACTCTCTTCTTCCTCAGAGCTCTCGCCTGATGCTCACCGCGCTCGCCTTATTCGCGCTCACCTCTCGCCTCCGTATGCACGAAGATGCTGCTCCGTATGCCGCAGGAGGCGGGGGAGAGATGCATCGAAACCATGGGTGGGAAGGGCACAAACACAGGTGAGCGTTGTTGTTATCTATTTTCAAGTGAAACAAATCATGCCTAAAGGTGAAACTAATCAGTGTGCTGCAGTACTGAGCATTTCGGCAGAGCATTGCAGTAGATCCTGTGAAAGCTCGCAACAGGCACCTTGGTTTTTGCTGCGCGCCGGCGTTCATCACATTCCAACTAATTGATTGCGCCACGCAAAAGCTGACCCATTTCACTGCAACAGCATTCGTGTATAGGTGCCACTCAAGAATCCAAGTCTCGGCACCCATCCTTCCGAAAAAGTTCCGTGTGGCCCCAAACAATCAACACACCCATTCCAGCTCTCCCAAACCCACAAACCCAAAGACGGCGGCCGCGAGACGCTCGACCTCTAGAGAGCTGGAGACGCTGGCGCGCTCGGCGTGCGCCAGGCCTTGCTGCACGTCCTGCGGCACCTCGCCGTGGCAGAGCTGGCGCGGTCGGCGGCCGGCGCCAAAGGGCTCCGCCAGGCGGACGGGGTGAGAACGGCCAGAGATGGGTCAGGGTGGGCGAGCCGGACGGGGTTCAGCATGTTTTCCCATCTCTTTGTGGTTAGAGCTTTCGAGTCAATCTCCGCAGGTTTTCTAGATTCATGGGGGATGTGAAAGGTGCAGCGCCGTGCAGGGCACGTGTGAAGTGTAAACCTTCATGTCACATCATTTTACCATTCTTGTTTGTGTAGGCTTAGAGTGTGTTTTTGTTTGTATGATGCAACGGTGCAACATCAGCACATGCGGCGTGTTGCGTGTTTGTGTCAGAACACTTCTTCTCTGATCCACTGTTCTGTTAGGTGAATCGAACAATCTACTACTAGAGGCGATTAGAGGCGGCAGTTGAGAGCTCTTGTTACTACTAGTAAGGCACTTGTTACTAGTAGCGATGCACTTGTTACTACTAGCTTCTTCCAACTCCCTAATGTGTCTTTTCCTGTCCGGGTTTGGGAGCTCGGCACCTCCGCCCGGTGAGGCCTCATGGACCCCTGAGCAGCTGGGCAGAGCTGGGCAGAGCTGGGCAGAGCTCGGCGCGGAGTGGAGCGGTTTTGAAACCGGGTGCATTGTTTTTTGCAACCCTTTACAGCGTTCGGGTCCAGCTATAAGACATTTCTTTTTTGGAGTTTTATGAGTTTTAGAAAGGTCATGAGGTCAACATCAAACCTGATGTGGGTTCCTTCGTTGCGGGTACTTAATGGAAGACGCGAACAAAAACTCTGTTGGCGAGAAGTTGATTGCCTCCAAGATCCCAGCTGTCGGCTGTATGCTCTCCACGTGTCTTGGGTCTCGCAAGAAAGCTGTGAAGGCTGAGATCTCTCAACATTTGGAAACACTTCGCCTCAACATCCCGTACTTTGCCAAAGTCGACCTTTTTCAAAAAGCCTCCCTAAAAACACATTTGGCCAATTGGGGTCCCACATCTCTTTTCTTCTTCCATCCCTTCAAACAGCGCCGTTCGCCGATCGCCTTCGGAACTCGAGACTCTGGCGCTTGGAGCTGGGACGCCGCTACGGGAAGACGGTGAAGAGCAGCTCCTGGCGCTTGGAGCTGGACGGGGGCCGGGAGTGCTGTGGGGAGGGGAAGAACGGTGAGTCAGGACACCAAACGCGGGTTGGTTGGCGGGTTGACTCAGGCGGGATGCGTCTCGTGGCGGAAAGAGCTCGGTGATTTTTTCGTGTTTTCATGAGGAAAGATGCTGACTCATGCACCGGACGGGCTAAGCAAATGTCATGTGGGCTTTTGGAGCTGGGTCGAAGAACTTTGGTTGTGAACGTAGCAAGTGGAGTGTTGGTGTTTCGATCAAAACCTGGTGCCTTCCCTTTTTCGATAGTAGAGGTGGTGGGATGTAGACTTGTTGGAAGACTTCCCCCACATGTAGAAATGCCGTAGTAGTTGGCCCACGGCTGATAGACGGCCGTGGTGTTTTCTTGCATTTTTCCATCATTTTTCGTTTTCTACGCTGTCGTTTTTGCATGTTTGCTTGAGGGGGATGTGGATGCTACGTGTGGGAATGGGGTGGGGGGTGGGGTGGGGCATGTTAACGTTCGGTTGCACTTGCTGCATGAAGTTGATGCTACGTGTGGGAATAGGGTGGGGGGTGGGGTGGGGTGGGGGGGCATGTTAACGTTCGGTTGGCACCAAAGCTTGACCTATGCCACACCGGCTCAGTTCTTGCGCCGCTTGGAGGAGCTCTTGTGAAGACCGAAAAAGTCGCAACTTTTTCCGACGGCCCAATTAGTTACGTAGTTTCGAAAATGCTTCGAAGTCAGCATTTCGCCTCAGCGAAACTCTCATTTCAGGCAAATCTGCTTGGAATTGACCATGATTCCACTGATGAAACGTTGGGCACATCATTCCTATAATGGAATTATGCACATTTCGACATGATTAGCCCACGACCATCATTGACTTACACCACGGCCGTCTATCAGCCATGGACCTAGTTACAGCATGTGACAGGCCTTTCAGTGTTTTGTCAATGTTATCCCATCCCATATTCATTGTCATGATATTTCAAAACCCAATTGGCACACTTCAAAGCACCGGCTTCAAAGCCACACACAATGTTGGAGGCCGCTTCAATCCGGGATGAGTTGGAGCAGGAGCCAATGTCAGAGAGTTGGAGCTATGCGAAGTCGGTTTTCTATCAAGAAATCACTTGCCATTTGAACTCCCTATATACTCATGAACTACGAGGTGTGCATTGCCTGGTTTGGTAAAGGCTTGTCAAACAGCTGCTTCAGCATGTTTGGGCCACAGCCAAAGTAGACCCACTTTGAACTCTTATCTATTTATCTATCTATCTATCTATCTATCTATCTATCTATATAATGATACATCTGTAACTGTTTGTAACTAGTTTTTTTCTCATCCAAAAAACTGCAAAACTTCAATTTCGTGTTCTTGAAATCCTTTGTCGTCTTAGTTTTGGATGTCAATGACCCGCCCTCCACCTTTTTTTCCCACGGGGCACGCGACCGGAGGAGCAGCGGCGGCTTCAGCACGAGCGACGTGGCTTGCTGCAGCTGCAGCAACGGCGCGCGGAGCGTGCCGCGGTGCCGAAGGATGTGCGTGGGTCGCGGGTCGCGGGTCGTGCGTCTGGGACCTGGAAAACACCTGGAAAATCTGTGGTTCCTCCAGGTTTTGGAGTAGCAGGGGTGGTCGGTGGCTTGGGGAGTTCAAAAGGTTCGTGAAGGAAATTTTGGCATCTGTTTGAGATGTTTTGTAGAGGTGTAACATAGCTTTTGGTTTTGGTTGTTGGGCTTTCTTACTTGCGGAGTCTTGGAGTCCATGTCAGCCACAAAGGACTCGAAATCGACTCATCACGCGGTTTCTCAAGTTCTGCAAAAACCATGTCTCACGTTTTCCTGAGGCGATCTCTGGGAGGCTCAAGAGAGGCAGGAGTCTGGACGGTTGCAGGGACTGTTGCAGGTAGGGACCTTTTTTCAAGGGGAAACACGTGAGCAGCGTTCGACATTCCTTTTTCGTGTTTTTGTTTTCAGGGGTCGGCGACCATCACCATTTTGGAACACCGCTCACGTGTCATGAAGTCGTCATGAAGTGTCTTGACGCGGTTTTTGAGCGAAGAACACCCACGAACCCTGCCTGGCATGGTTGCCGCGGAGGTTCGGAGCCCACCCTGTCTCCTTGAGCTCCTCGGGGATTTGTCCGGTTTCGGACATCAGCAACTCCGTTGCGTGTTTGACCACCTGGTTCCTCTCAGGGCTCGCATCCATGAGCGGCAGCAGCTGGTGTCGCAGCGCCTGGGCGACCTCGCCGCTCATGGCCACTTTTCGCTCACTCAAAACCAGCCATCGGCTGGGCTGACTGGCGGGTTCGGTTTTTCTATCAGGTTGGCAAGACAGAGCCGATATTTTGGGTCTGTCCCAGTAAACCTCTAGAGCTGTCAGGTTTCACGAGAACGTCAACTATTTTTGAGATTTTTTGAGATGTCGGCCTGCAACGAACTATCATCCACCGGGCCCTAGTAATGGGTGAAGTATGCCCAATATTAAGGGCCCACACGGTCTTCAGAACAGGTCCTAAGTCTAATCTATATGATCGCATGTGTCAGGTGTTCTAGGCAGCCAGAAATACCATGACAGAACTGGTAGAGGAAGAACATCGACGCCCGCAAGGTAACCAATTGGCGAGCGCAAATGTGTTAATCGACATTTGGGTGCCTTCAGACCGATTTTCCAAGTTTTGCTTTATGTTCATTTCAATCATAATAGCCAAACGCAAGAC